GCGGAGTGTATCGATCTTGATGCACCGTGCCAAGGGCTGTGCTGCGCTGCGCCGTGCTGAATTGCGATGTGCCATGCCGCGATTGTGCTCTATAGCGTTGTGGATCGAGTCTTCCTTTGCATCCGAGTCCTGACCGAACTGATCTAGATCTTAAGCTCGAGCTGCCTGAACACATAGTAGCTGCCCCAGAGCTAATTGACAGGGGAATATGCCAGGAGGACGCGCCGCGGAACGTCTCAAGGGACGCGCCCAGCGACGTGCCAGGGGACGTGCCATGGGGACGAACCGCGGGACGTGCCAAGGGTACGCGCTACGGAACGTGCTGGGGACAAGCGTTTCGCTCGAGACATCCTGTCAAAATCCTCATGCTAGACATCCGCCTGAGCGACCTGGACACGTGAAAACAAGCGTTTCGCTCAACACATCCTCAACACATTCTCATGCTAGACATCCGCCTGGGCGAACTGGACACGTGAAATCAAGTGGTTCGCTCGAGACATCCTCAACACATCTTCATGTGAGACGTCCGCCTGGGTGACCTGGGCACGTGAAAACAAGCGTTTCGCTCGAGAAATTTTCAGCACCTCCTCATTCTAGACATCCGCCTGGGCGACCTGCACACGTGAAAGCAAACGTCTGGCCCGAGACATCCTCAACATATCTTCATGTTAGACATCCGCCTGGGCGACCTGGACACGTGAAAAAAAGCGTATCCCTCAAGACATTCTCAACACATCCTCGTGCTAGGCATCCGCCTGGGCAACCTGGACGCGTGCAAACAAGCATCTCGATCGAGACTTCGTCAACACATCCTCATGCTAGACATCCGCCTGGGCGACGAGGACGCGTGAAACCAAGCGTCTCGCTCTAGACATCCTCAACAAATCCTGGCGCCAGACCTCTGCCTGGGCAACCTGGAGGCGTGAAACAAAGCGTCTCGCTCGAGACATCCTCAAGACCTGGGCACGTGAAAACAAGCATTTCACTTCAGAGATCCTCTGAACTCTGGTCCCACGGAGAGGACAATCTATAACACAAAACAAGCGTTTCGCTCGAGACATGCTCGATCAATCCCACCAGCCCTCTGGGCGTCGGTGGTTTAGAGCGTTTCCTCTTCCACCCCTCCTTCTTTCCCTTCGGGGAGGGGTTTACCCCTCCCCCTACCCCCTCCCCACTGACCTGGACAAGGGGTTCCGCGGCGCGTTGGAGCGCCCAAGATGGCCCAAGACGGCTCCAAGAGGGCCTCAGGGAGCTAAAGATGACCTCCAAGATGGCTCAAGATAGCGCAAGATGCTTCAAGCTGGTCCCCATGATGTTCCAAGACGCTCCAAGAACTCCCCAAGACGGTTCCAAGTGCCCACAAGAGCATCATTAGGATGCATCCAAGAGGCCAAAATGCTTCAAAACCCTAGGGAAAATCAATGTTTTTGGTGTTCTCACTTTTTCGCTTGCGATGCACATCCGACGCGTCAAGATGGCTCCAAGATGGCTCAAGATAGCTCCAAGAGGGGCCCAAGAGAGCCTCAGGATGGCTCCAAGAGCGGCCACGAGCGCTCCAAGAGCGACCCAAGAGGGGTCCAGGAAGCGATGTTTGGAGCTCCTGGGGGGGGGGGCTGTAATTAGGGAACCCCACTTCCTTGGCCGATGTCCTCCACGATGGCCGCAAGAGGCCCCCAGGATGCCCCAAGAGGCCGCAGGATGGCCTCAGGATGGCCCCAAGAGGCCCCCCAAGAGGCCCCCAGGAGGCCCCCAAGAGACCCCCAAGAGGCCCCAAGAGACCCCCCAGAGGCACCCAAGAAGCCCCAGGAGACCCCAAGAAGCGCACAGGAGGCCCCCAAAGGCCCCAAGATGGCCCGAAGAGGCCCCAAGAGGCCCCCAGGAGGCCCCAAAGAGGATCCCGAACGGCCCACAGAGGCCCCCCCGAGGCACCCAAGACGCCGAAAAGCCCCTCAGGACGACCCTCTACTCGCCTGGGCGTCGTTTCTGGACGGGCTGGTGGGGATTCGCGAAGCGTCTAGAATTCTGAAAAATTATCCCGGCAAAGCAACCTAACAGCGATGTGTAGAAGCATATCTGAAAGCATTCCCCTTAAGATTCAGATGAAAATCCAGTTGTCGAATTCTGCTGTTCTCGCAGTCGTAGTCGCATTCACGATGACAGTCGCAGCGGCAACGGCAGTCGCAGTCACAGCCTCAGCCTCAGCCTGCCTCCTCCTCCTCCTCCTCTTTCTCCTG